TAGTAAAAACAAAGGCCCAGGTTTGATCATCAGCACTGCTAACAAAAAATAATAATAATACATCCTCTTCTGTATGTATGCTTTTGATTGCTTTCTAATCTCTTTTAAAATCTTACTGCCCAGTTTTATAATTATTATTAATAAAAGTATCTATCCAATATAAGCTACTCTGTCATTTCTAGAATCTGAAAGTCCCTCTTTTGTTTTTTGATTATCATCTTTGGAAAATGTGAAATTGTTCTGGATCAACTACTTTCAGGAGACTTATGTAGCAATGAAGTCAGAGCCACATTCCAGGAATTTTCTTTGCAACACAGAAAGGTATATATAGCCCAGGTGAAAGATGATAGATTAAGGTAGTAGTAATGAAAATAGTGGTAAGTGGTCAGATTCCATTTTCTTTGATTTGGACTGGCTATTTTAAGTACCAATATTTGTTGTTAGAAAGAGCTCAGACAGGCCATAAGAAAATAAAATTATCTAGATATTCTTATTCAGAATTTCTCAAAGCTTTTTTGTAAATCAAAACAGCAACATTCATTTTTAGTAACAGAAAAAAATATGCTTTGACAAATTGTTCTTTGTTTCCTACTTTGAAAATAAGTACATTGGTCTAGTGCAAGCATCACAGGCATTGCAGATTTATAGCTCCATTTCCATCTCCTTTCTTTCTATGAACAGCCCAAGTTCAGCTAAACTGTTGGGAATAAGAAATTTTCATAGATGCCATGCAAAAACTGGCTGCAAGAAAGACAAAAGTAGAATCTGTAAGACAAACAAATCACCTCCAGTGCCTAGGTGGGAGACAGTTATGAAGGATATTTAAGAGAAAAATAGAAGTTCATGATTGATTAGCCTGTAGGGAGTAATGTCATTGTATAGGAACTTAGGTTTCTGGCTTGTCCATCAAGATGGATGTTGTCATCAACCCCTGAGAGAGGAAACAATACAGGTCCAGATATGAGAGTGGGAAACACATTTGATTTTTGACTTTTGAGTATGTCTTCAAGTTTTTAATTTGGAAACACCTAATTAATCTTCATCTCTAGTATCACCACCATTTTTTTCTGTACCATATTAATTGTATCAAAGTGAAATTATGATTATGTCACTCCCATTTTAAACTACTATCTTCCTGCAAATACAGAAAAGGAAAGGAAGCAAATTCTTAGACTGACATTTAAGACATTCCATACTCTTTGTTTCTATTTTACCTTCTAATCCTTATCTCCCACTATTCATTACCAGTTGGCAGTTTTACAGTTTCTACATAATTAAGAAACACAGTCTGATATTCAGAATTCCTATTGAATTCCATTCAGGCCAACTCAGTGAGCAAACTACTGTGATTTAGTGTTTGCTTCAAACCTTGAGATGGAAGGCAAGGCATTTGAAAGAAAAACTAGGAAATTTCCTTCTTTTACACTTTCATGAACATAAATCTTTATATCTCTGCAAGTTTAGAAACTACAGTTATACACTTCCTTTGCACTAGGAAATGAGCCTAAAAGTCAAGCAACCCTGATATGGATTGATAGTAAAGATAATGAAACACTTTATCAGTTGCTCAAAAATTTGAAGGATGAAAATTAAAATCTCTGAGATGTATTAAGATCACGTATTTGCTATATTTAACTGTGTACTTATTACAATAGTTTTTTACCTTCTAATAGTTTCGATGTAGCTTCTCAATCAGCACTGTCCAGTAGAAATGTACTACAAACCACATACTATAAATATCACATTTTCTAGTAGTGTTTAATAAAATAAAACAATTTTATTTCATCCAATATATTTAAACTATTATCATTTCAATATATAATATAAAAAAATTATACTAAATCTTCAAAATCTGATGTTTTATACTTACAGCAAGTCTCAATTTTGAAATTTTGACTAGTATATTTCCTGTTCTTAATACTCATGTGTGATAGCAACTACTGTACTAGAATATACAATTGTGAATCAAACATTGAACAATCAAACAATTCCTAAGCAGCAACATGATGCCAGCTGCTGAGTTGACTTGCCACACTTCCATTGACTTGGCTAGTAATGAGACAGTGAGTCCTACTAGATTAAGTAGACTTTATTAGTCATGGCACAGCAGGCGGCATGAGCTTTCACATTTTCATTGCTTTATATGACCACTTGAGTCCCACAAAAGTTATGTGGAGGTGAACCCAGGAGAATGATTGTTAGTTAGCTTTCCATCGTTGTAACAAAATATCTGGAAAACAAAATTAGAGGAGGAGAGAATTATTTTGGATCAGTCTCAGAGGTTTCATTCCATTGTCAGCTGGCTCCATTGTTTCTGGGCTTGTGGTGAAGCAGTACAACTTGGTGGAAGGGCATGCAAGGGCAAAGCTACTCATATCCTGGTAGCTAGAAATCAGAGAAAGAGGGAAGAAGAGAAAAAGAGAGGAGAGAGAGGAAGGGGGGAAGAGGGAGAAAGAGAGACAGAAAGAGCAGGTAACAATATGTAGTTCCCAAGGGGACATCCTCAAGGACCCATTCCCTTCAGTTGGGGTCCTACTCCTACATTTTCTACACCCTTCCAATAAGTTCATTCAGCAATGACTCCAACAATGGATTAATCCATTGATGAGGTCATAGCCCCATGATCCAATCACTTCTCAAAAGTCCCACCTCTGAACATTGTTGCATTAGGAACCAATTCTTAAAACATATGAGCCTTTGGGGTACACTACAGATTCAAACCATAACAGTGTTAGACACAAAGTGGATACATGTCATGGCAAAGGAATACCATTATTAGGTAATTCCCAATTTTACAAGGGAGCTACAAGCAAAGCTGTTCAAGCTTTGTTCATAAGGGAGACATATCTTTATATCCGTGTCAGAAAACAAATCTGCGCTCTGACCAAGAAGGAAACACACTTTGAAATTTCAAAGTCTACTATGCAAACATCTAAGTCACAAGATATAGCAGTGCCACTGAGAGAATCGGCTTTTTTCTTAAAAGCCTTCTTAGATATTCCAGGCAGAGTTAAATGTTCCATAGTATCCTCTATGTATCTCAAAAATAGCATAGAACTCACAAATTGTTTTTGTGCTTGTCTGTCTCTCTCACTATTCTATGAGCTCCTGAGAGCCAGTGAAAGAAACATCAGTTCTCAATAAATACTTGATGAAGAAATAAATGCTTTGAAAGAAAGAGGATAATGAGAAACTAATAGGAGGAATTTAGTTTAGACTGGTGGTCAAGAAAAGTCAAGGTTTGATTAACCAAAGAATAAGAAGTCAGTCATGTAAAATCTAGGGAGGAAGAGTGATTAAAGAGGAACAACATGGCTAAAGAATCTACAGCATCAAAAAGCTTGGAGAGTTGAGGAACTGAAAAGCCAAAGCATCTAGACAAACATAGCAAGTGAGTATTCAAATGTTTTAACTTGGGAGAAGTGAGAATGGAGTCAAATTATGCAGGATTTTAAAGACCATATTAAGGACCTGGAGTTTTATTCAAAGTCCATGGAAAACCATTAAATAATTTTTAGAAGGGCATATTATAATCTAATTTTCAAATGTAATTTAATATAATCTCTAACAGGTGCCTTGTAAAATATGGATAGACGTCACAAATTCTTTCATAGTAAATGGTGACCAATGATGTCTTGTTTTGCTGCTTCATCTTGAGACTTAAATTCATCTTTCTTCTCAGGAATTTGGTTCTCTGAGACTAAAAACTGAACAGTTTCCTTTCTCTGCCTTAATATTAAATACTAGCCAAGCCAACCTATTAGTCATTTCCTTAAATACCTTATACTTTCTGACATTCAACCCTCATTTGTAACACCACCTACTACTTAAATTTTATCATTCTTTAGTGTCTAGTTTACTTTTTTATATTTTTAAAATTCTCAATATACTAAATTTCCATTATTAATCCATAATGGCATGCTACCAATTCTACACAGCATGAACATTTACTAATTTCAAAATTGGTTTCAAACCTTTAAAAATAAGGTTGGTTAAAGAGTATGAAATAGCATCAGAAAATAAAAAAAGTATTCACATGCAAAAAAAAAAAAAAAAAAAAAAAAAAGTTTTCCCAAACTTTCTGCATTTATCTCACAAACTTTCCTACTGGGAAACGTTCCACCTAGGAATCTGAGAAATTGTTTTCTTTTTTGGTTCTCTGACTACAGACGTTGTGATATTGCTAAATCCCTCTCACACAAAGAGTTTTGGAGCTCTTTATACTACTCACCTTGCCTACGAAGGTCCCCCTTTATCTTGAATACCATGTTCTCCTTACTTTGATAAAATTCAATGATTTTCAAAGCAACCTTGGCAAACATTTTTATTGGACCCTCACAACTTAACAAAATAATTAATGAAGGCATATTTTCCCCTTCTCTTTTAAAGATGAAGAAAGAGGCTGAGGAGATGAGAACTAAGACAAACGTCTTCAGTCTTGGTCCAAAACACTGATTTTCAATTTTATTGATCGACGGAGACCCTAGGATGTTCTGGGAACAGTTTCTCTTTCACCCCATTCGTCCAACTCTGCTTTCAAATAAGCGGTATTCTGCAGGACACCAAAAATCCTCTGAAAACAAGTTCTTGCTCTTGCGTTGCTCAGGTTATGTTGGAATAACCCACCAGATCAAAACATGGAACGAGCGCTTAAAGTCCAAGGGAGAGTAGAAAGTCGGTGGAGCAAAGAAATCTCAGCTCCTCTTCTCATTTTAACCAGAGTTCCCTTCACTTACTAACAGCTGTGTGGTTTTCATATACCCCATGCAAACCTCACGAGATGTACTCTACTGATCAGGAAGTTGAGTAACTGTAGAAGTCGGTTTAGGTTCACCCAATTTACATACCAGAATTAATTTCTGCAAGGCCTGTCCTGAGACGCCTGGGTGGGTGGAAAGAGCATCCTCCACAAGAGGCAAACCTCACAGCCGACCCGCCCAGCCTCTCCCTCGGCCGGAAGCCACTCAACAGGAAGCGGCTGCTACCTCCGAGTCACGTGTCTGCCGAAGATGGCTGCGCTGGGAGGAACGGAGTAAAGGTTGTATCTTAAGCCCCGGCGTGTTAGAACTGGGGAGGCACCGGCTGTTGGGAGGAGAGCAGCAGGTACTGGCACGCTAGGAAAGGGGTAAAGCAAATATCCTGGTGACCGGATAAGTACGATGTGGTGACATATTATCCACCGGCAGCACCGGAACGAGACAATGGAGGAGGGGCTGCGGCCTTAAGGAATTGTCTCTTCACTTTCCACCCTAGAAGTTGAGACCCTATATTTAAACTAAGTCAATAGGGGAAGTTAAAAAAAAAAAAAAAAGTTATGACATAATTTAGACCCGGGATTACTGCCAATTTAGAGGGTGACCGTAGCCAAATTTAATTTTGTCTCTATTTTACCCATTGCCTTTCTCTGAAAGCTCTCGAAAGTGATGTGAGATAGTGCAAAAAAATACCTTTTGGAATGCTTGTCGTATTTAAAGGTGGCAGTGCCTTGAATAGATTTTTTGTTGTTGTTAGTAATGGGGACACAGTGCTCATAGGGAGCTATCCAGTCAGGACTTTTACCCAATTAAGGGTGACTTGTGCTAGAAACAACTGTTTCACAGAACTAAGAACCTTACCAATATGCAGAGCAGAGAATAGAAAAGTAGTGGTAGCATTAGGCTGTAGATCCTAAGAAAATATTTTTTACATACACATCACACTGAGTTTGATTACATAATTTCTTCCACCCCATAAAAAATCATCCAGTACTCCTGCATGGAAGAGATTTGTGTCTATCATATTATTGAAGCCAAGGCCCTCAAAAATTTGAGTCCTGATAACCTAAATGAGTTTTACATTTAAACATATCCAGTAAATATTTGTTAGTCAGTGCTATAATCTTAAGTAAATGAATAGTGATAGTGAAACAAGACAATCTGATGCATAAAACCATGTTGTCCCTAAATCTTTGCTTTTCTTAACTGTTAACTTGGAATCTGAAGCTTTATGCTAAAATTTATTCACCATTTCCCTACTGACATTGATCCTCTCTAGTAGAGATCAACAAACTACTGGAATGTAAGCCACGTGCAGTCTAAAACTTGTTTCCATCCAGCCAAGAATGAATTTTTTACATTTTTAAAAATTCAATAAAGACTATAGGTTACCCGCAGTGTTTAAAATCTTTAATGTTTTTTGGCCCATTCGGGAAAAGTTTGCTGGCCCTTGCTCTATGGTATACCAAAAAGCAAAATTGTGGGGCATCTTCTTCCCACTACCAAATTATTTCCAAAGTGGTGGTACCTACTTTAGGTGCAATTTACACTTCCACCCAGAACACACAAGTTTCAGCTCCACTAAATTCTTGCCAGTAATTGAAGTCATCAGATTTTAATTTTAGCTAAGTTATGGGTACCTCTTGGTTTCTGTGGTCTTATTTTTCCCTAATGGTACTGAAGTTGAGTATATTGTTTACATTTATTGACTTTTGTCTTTTTGTGAAGTACCTGTTCAAATCTTTTCTCAATTTTTCTATTGGGTTATTTGCCTTGTTTTGTAGTTCTGTTTATGCTACAGATACTAACCACTCCTTTAGTTACAAACATGTTCTACACTACCTTATTTTCATGATATCTACTGAAGAAACAAGTTATTAAGTTTAGTATTGGCTAGGGTTTTATAAGTCTTCTGTGTTTAGTGCTATTTGTGAATTGTCTAGGAAATATTGTTTAAGATTACAAAGATACACTATATTTCTTAGAAGCTTTGCTTTTCATTTTCATGTTTTTTTAAGGGTCAAGATGGAAAATCATAAACCACATGATACTATCAAGGAAAAGTCAATTTTTGATATCATAGCCAGAAAAATTGAACTACTACCAGAAGCAGAAAGGTAGGATCCCTTAATTTAAAAATATTTTTTCCAGGTGTGTTTTCATTGATTTGTTATCTCAAATTTACGTGGATTAAGTAAGAACAACATAGACTATCAAAAGGAAAAACTGAACCCTTTTCTTGCTTTGCTGAGAAAACTGAGACCCCAAAGAGCTTAACCATTTTATTTAATATCAAAGCTAACTGTGGAAGTTGAGGCTGGATCTCATGTCTTCAGACATATCCAGTTGTATCATGATTCATTTTTTCATTTTAGCTTGGAGTACAGCAGTATATAAACAGTCATGGACTCATTTAAATAACAAGACTCTTTCTCAGTTCATTTCGATCAGTGTACTTACCTGTCTAAAAAATATGGCTGTATATATTTTTATGGGAATGGGATCTTGGCTAAAGGTTTTTAAGATATGATTAAAGAGAAAAATACAGGAAACATGGTCTTTGAAGACAACAAAGACAAGTACAGTACACTTCCAGAAAACACTTAAGACTGCAACAATTAAAATCTTTCTAATGAAAATATATTTAAAATGAAAAGGAGCCAACCTGATTAAGAGGAACCATTTGAGGAACCAATGTTACTGAAATACAAGGGAAGTGGACATTGGAAACAGAACAGTTTTAAGGAGGAAAATGTGATCCAATTAAACTTCCTAATGAACATTTTTTAGAAAACAGATTTAAGATAGGAAGGAAAAGAAATAGTAGAAAAAGTGGCATAGTTATATTGGTGAGTACAGGGTGTAGAGTGGGGGCAGTTGAAATGAAAAAAGGATTTGAAATACATTTTGGAGCTATACTGTCTTCAGGTGTGATAACTACACAAATTCCAGCCTTGCTATTAACTATCTCAACAAGGGAGAACCTAAAGTCAAGAGCGAGCGGTAATAAGAACTGGGTGAGATTTTAAAGGTTTTCTGTCCCTCCCCACCACTACATACCACTTTTCTTGAGGTAAAGAGAAAAACTTTTAGAGCAAAAAAGGATGTTTCCAAGCCAAGCAAGGTAAGGAAAACCATAGACTGACACAAGGAAATAAAGAGATGGTAGCAACTTTGAAAAAGTAGGCAATCACTGGGTCCTTTACCAAATTAGAGAATACTGGGAAGTGAACTAAAACTGAAATGTGAAAATTTAGATACTAAATTGCTTTCAAACAGTGGCATGTAGTAGTGTTCTTTGTTCCTTTTTCTCTTTATTTTCATTTTATCTTTTAATTTTGAATCCTCATCCCTTTGTGCATTGTCAGACCATTAACTATGCTTAAGTTAGTATGTTCTGAACTGTATAAATATTTTATAACATAAAACTTTCCAATCTATACAATAATCACATGTTCCACTTATGTCATTGCCATTTGCTAAATTTGATCTTTTTTATATTTAATCAGCCTGGTAGTTAGCTGTGTTTTCTTTTAAAAGAGAGAGAGAGAATTTTTCAATATTTATTTTTTAGTTTTCGGCCGACACAACATCTTTGTATGTGGTGCTGAGGATCGAACCCTGGCCGCAAGCATGCCAGGCAAGCGCGCTACCGCTTGAGCCACATCCCCAGCCCGTTATCTGTGTTTTCAATTGTGCATAACTTGTTTGGAAAACTGGCTGAACCAAAAGAATTAACTAAAAACCTTAACTTTGGCCATAGAAAATTAAAATCTGGTTGAGAGAAAACAAAGTTTGCTTTTCAGATTCCAGTTTTACTACTTGTTTTATTATCTAAGCACTGGTTCCTATGATTTAAACAGGGATAGTACACATATATTTTTATGATGAAATAAATACTTAGATTCTTCAGAGAAGGCTCATATGTCCCATTTCCTCAACCCTCCACAAAAAAAACCAGGCCTTTCACATTTCCATGTTTTCTGTGGTTGTTTGGTAGGTTCTCTAAACTCTTATCACACTCTTTGATATCTTATGTATCCCAAGTTCCCAAACCATTTTTGTAGGCTTCTGTTCTATCAAGTTTATGTGTCTTTCTTCTTCACAATTAGTCAACTATAAAATCTTTGAAGACAGAAGAAAATTTTTTGTGCCTTAGCACTAAGTCTGCAATAGGTTCTCAGTGAGTGAAATGATAGACATCATTATGAATATAAAGCACCATGTAAGAATAGTAATACCCTATAAAATATAGGAAATTAACTAGGAGTTCCTAGAAAAGTTGTCTTAAGTATAAACTGAAGAGGTTAGAGGGGATATATTGTGTGGCTTAGTTTGACTAGTAACAAGAAATTTAAGAGGGTGAACTGTGTTGAAGATAGCAACTAAGTAGTAGGCTGAAGTGTTTCGGTTGGAGTATTTCCAATATCTAGTGATAATTTTAGGCATTGTTTTTCCCAAAAAAGAATAGAATGGGAGTTGTAAATTCATACACAACCTTGGCTTAAAATCTATTTCTCCCACTTATTGTTTCAAAACATCAATATATCCGTCAATTAAAGTACCCAGTGTAGAGTATCACTTTATATTAGCACTTCTTTTGTCTCCCAATCCTGACACTAATGCTTCAGGGAGGAGTGAAAGGAAACACATTAACTTCACAACACCTTCCAAGGCAGATTTTACTGAAACCAAGTAGAATACATTTTTATATCTGTTATCTTATTGCTCATAGCCCAGAGGGGAAACCTGCCATTTAATGATTACAAGGTGGTTACATCTGGTAATATTTTGTGCTAGAGAGAGCTCAGAAAAGAGTCATCCAGAACTTGTTTGTTCACTGCTATAGTTGTGGGTAGGTTTCTACACTAATAATTCTTTGTAAAAATCATAAAAACACATTTAGAAAAATCTAAGTATATCACCCTATCCTTAAGTACTGACCAAATTTAAAAGTCTTTTAGTATTAAAATCTAAAACAGTGATTTAAGGCTTTGGTTTAATGGAGCTGTAAAGGATAGATGTTGTCTAGTTATTCCCAAAGCCCTAGTAATGCCAAATGGAAGAGTTCACAGTGGAACCAAAAAATTATTTTTTTCTTACCCTCAGGAATCTACTTGAACATGGATCCACATATATTGGACTTAATGCTGCTCTCTGTGGCCTAATAGCAAACAGTCTTTTTCGGCGTGTCTTGCATGTAACAAAGGCCCGAATAGCTGCTAGCTTACCAATGGCAGTGCTCCCATTTTTGACAGCAAATGCATCTTTCAAAGGTTTTGTAAGTTTACCTTTGAGTACAGGTAAATTCTATTTTACTATCACCAAAGACTTTGCCTCTGTATAATATTATTTTCAATTTAAATATCAAATAACTATATGCAGTGTTTGGGTAAGACTATCTTGATAACCTGTTATGTGGCAATGAATTCATGTTAGCATGGCCTACCAACAAAGTAAAATGCACATACACAGCAGTTCTGAATACTTTATCTGATTTATGTCCGTCCCCCCCCCCCCCCCGCACTCAGAGTAAGGAATGTTTGGAAACCTCATATTTTACAAAAATGCTGACTGCCTTAGATTTCTTTTTAAATTTATATTCTATAGAGAAATTCCTTAGAGAAAAAATACTTTATAGGAATAAGATTCTTTATGTAGTAAATTTCTTAAAGCACTACATGCATATATAACACAACAAATAAGTGGAAGATTTAACTTTCTTTTTAAGTTTTACCATATGTAAAATTTTGAGTCACAAAATTTTTGATAAATGATTTTAAATCCTCCAAATTTGATTGGATGAGTACTTTGAATTCCCATGGCCACTGTGGAATTTGTATGAACAAAACAAACCTGTTGCCCACTGAATAGTGAATGAAAATATTAGCCCATGTCTGATACAAAACAAGTGTAGAAATCTAGAAGCAGCCCATATCTTGAGATGATTATATCCAAGACCAGTTCCAATTGAAGAATTTTTTTCCCTAAGATTACTGTCTTTTCCCTACATGTAAATTATACCTCTTTTTGTCTCAGTATTGGGAATCAAACCCAGGGCCTTACACATATTAAGCAAGCACTCTACCACTAACTATCCCCAACCTCTAGTTATGTTGCAGAATTGCATTTGTTGTTTTTTTGCCGGAAAATAAATATTAAGTGGACTTCGTATTCTTTAAATCATGCTTTAACTATCATGACCAAAATTTCCAAAACTAATTTATTTATTTTCTAGGTGATTTGAATTGTGAAACCTGTACTGTGACACGGGGTGGACTTGTTGGTTTAGTTTTAGGAGGTCTGTACCCTGTTTTCTTGGCTATACCTATAAATGGTGGCCTAGCAGCCAGGTAGGATTCTGTTTTCTTATAATTACTGAAAGCCTTTAATATATACCTAGAAAACTCAGAACTTAAAACAGCAAATATATTTAGATTTAGAAGAAAGGCAATGTTACCTTTTTGCTTAGATTTGCTTTTTCTTTAACCACTTTGGACTTACTAAGAATTTGAAAATACCCCACTTATGTATGATATATCATAATGTATTCTACTGTCATGTATAACTAATTAATAAATTTTTAAAAAGTCACAAAAAGATAATAGTCCATGCCTCTATGGTATAACTGAAAGAACCAATAAATTAATTTGAAAATAGTTCAATAGTTTGAGCACTTGTACTAAAGGAAAATTCTATCGGGAACGTCTACAGCCATGTTAGTCCCAAATAATTCCCATATGTCTCTGTTGAACTCTTGTATCAGCATTCTATATGAGCCTTCAGAGATTAACCAGGAGAAAGAGGCAAAAAAGAAAACAAAGCAGTTTTTAGTACTAATAGCCACTAACGAGAATAGCATTTCCTAATCTTTTTATCTATTTTATCTTAAGACTTTTAGGATTATTATGTATTGTACATAGGTTTGCCACTTGATACAAAACTATTCTAGTGATTTCTTAATGTTTTCTTACAGGTATCAATCAGCCCTGCTACCAGAGAAAGGAAACACCTTAACTTACTGGATTAAAATTTCTAAGCCTATCTTCAGAAAGATGTTATTTCCCATTTTACTTCAGACTATGTTTGCAGCATACCTTGGGTCTAGACAATATAAAGTACTTATAAAGGCCCTTCAGTTACCTGAACCAGGCCTAGAAATTCACTGATTTAGAGCAAATGTGTATACAAAATAAAATTGTCAAGATAACCTGTGTCTCTCTTAATGTTAAAAATAAATGTAGACCTGTAATTTATCTTAAGAGGTATAATTCTGGGACCTACAACAAAAGGTTACACAAGGGCAACAAAGGCTGGACTTAAGACACCCACTTAATACATTCAGCACTGAATTTGGACACAAGAAAATATATAGAAATTTTCAACGAAGACTTCACAAAGTCAAACAGGAAAATCAAATGTTACTTTTACTTTTTTCCTCAGAGTGTTTCCATAGGTATCATTAATTCCTAAAATTTTAGAACTTACAAATTTCCTCACAGGACATCAATGCTAATCTATATTCTCAGAAAGCTATATTTTTATAAAATATAGACAAAGTCTATCTTTTAAAGCTTCTATCTAATGTGGGATAGTTCTTTATCATCAGAGACTTAAACCACTCTTTTTAGTATATATGTACTAATAAGCAAGTTAACTTTAACTTCTAATCCTCGGTATCCTTATCAGTTACCTCACTGAAGGCTGGTATTACATAAGTAAATTACCTAATAGCACATGACACACCAGGGACTCAAATGGTAACTATATATTCTTCCTATTGCTTTACTTTGCTTTCTGAAATATCTTCATAAATTCATTCATGAAGAGAACGTTTAAATTATTTAAAGTAATGTACTGTATTCTTCCAAATATTTCTCATCCTAGTTCTTTAAGCCATTTTCTTATATGACAGAACCTTGAATCAGCATTGTCCAACCTGATGTTAGATAATACTCATCTTCTGTTAGCCAGTAGCATCTAAAGTATGGATCCACGGCTACAGAATTGGACAGTGCACATCTAGACCAGCATTTTCTTAAGAAGCAAGTCAGTCACCACAGAAGAGTACCAAGTCAAATCTTACCCATCCAATATCATATTCCTGATCCTATCTCAACTACTACTTACTTCCAAATAGTGACTTATTAAATATTAAGCATTGTATGCTTAGCCTATTTAAAGAAAACAGCTGCCAAAATTTAAAATTCAAGTGACTTAACAAAATATACTTTCAACTTTTCAAAAAGCAAAGATGATTTGTTCTTTCAATAGGCACATAAAATGTATTTTTGATATAAGAAATGATACCAATTGGAGCAAAAAAAACACAAAACTTGCACAAGGGAAATGTGGCACAATGTTTGCTGTGACTATCCTCTGGGTTACAGAATGATTTTATTTGCTTTCTTTCTGGATTTCTCAAGTTTCCTATTATAAATATGCTTTACTTTTATAACTAAGGAGAAAAGGCAGACACAGTGGCACACGCCTGTAATCCCAGCAACTTGGGAGACTGAGGCAGGAAGATTGCATGTTCACTACAAGCTTCAGCAACTTAGCAAGGCTCCGTCTCAAAATTTAAAATCAACAAAAAAGGGGCTGGTGAGGTGGCTCAGTGGTAAAACATCAAAGTTCAATCCCTAGTACTAGTACAAAAAAAAAATTGTATGTAAAAATTCAAAAGGCAAAAGAAATTACCTGTTTCTTTCACAAGCTAAAATATCAAAAGGAAAGGTTTGGGGCTGGGGAATGTAGCTTAGTTGGTAAAGTGCTTGCCTAGCATGTGCAAGGCCCTGGGTTCAATCCCAATGCGCGCACACAAAAAAGGACAGGGGGTAAAGGTTCTTTGATTCAAGTTCTCCATTTTATCTGCATTCTATCACTTTTAAAGCAGAGTCTACATCGCAATGAAAATAACTAAAATTCCTTACTTCAAAAATAAGAAATACAAATTAGTCAAGACTCCTTTATCAACTAGATAACCTTACTATTTTTTTTAAACTGTTCCAGAATATTTACCCCCTGGTAAACCATCTGTAAATGAGTACAATCTTTAATAATGGTTTCTGTAGTCAAAAAGGATTTCTAACATCTGTCCTCTACTACATATTTCTCAAATCATCTTTCCAGTTAGAAGAAATGTGCAACATAGGCAATAAAAGCAATATTTTGTCTGTTGCTACAGATCTGCCAGAATTTTTGTTCAGAGGGCTGATATATGACATGTGAACCTGCTGTGAGCTGCCATCTTTAAAGAACACTGCTTCCCTCAGGAAAGCAGTTCTTCATAATCTCAGTCTAGTCAGGGTAGACAGACTATTTAAAATCTTTTACAATTCACTTTGTGTAGTTAAACGGCTTTAAAGGGTCATACTAAACATTTTGTAAACACTGAAGAGTCAAGAGTGGTTTAAGAAATCGATCTTGTGGGAATACATGAAAGAGAATTTGGAAGCACATTCTAAGGAAAGCTGGGCTACCAATAAAATTCAAATTGTTATAATAGCAGAATTATACAATGCCCAAATAATTAGTGACTAGACTTTTAAATGTTGTGAAAATTGAGCAAAATTAATAATTGGGTCAACAAAAAATTAGTACTTTATAAACAAGAAGAAGTGGCTGAATATTCAGAGTACACATAAAAGTATTTGGCTTCAAATATGAAAAATACTATGCTGACCAAACAGCATTCTCAAGATTCTAATGGAAGACCTTCCCCTCTGAACCCCTGGCTTAGAAGGTAACTAAATGAAAAAAAGCTCAGGAAAAAAATATAAACATTTAGAAGGGTCTCAAAACTGTACTGATAGCAAATGGAGAGGGGGGAATAAATACTTCTAAGTATCTTACTATCTATTAAACTTTGAAGAGTCATCAGATTAATTTGGTGAGATCCTTAATTTATACCATCAAAATGCTGAACTATATATATTAAAAAGATAATCACTCATTATTGATGAATTATCCAATTTGTGTTCTATCAAAAGTAACAGGAATTAATGCTCACCAAAAATTACTGGCACCTAAACCTTTACTTGTAGAATCACCTGTCCTTTAGGAGCATTAGCCACTTAAGTCAGTGGGAATGATTTTTACTGCTTGGCTTTACAGGAAACTAAATACATTTAGATTATAAGAAACTAGGTAGACCGAATACATTTTGAATAATAACACACAAAGGCCAATTTCAAAGCTATTGTGAAATACAGCCTAACTCCTACCCTTTCCCTCTTCTATCATCTACACAATTCCCAAGCGAGTCATTAAAATGACAGTCCAAACCAGGTGAGAAAATGTATTAACCCAACAAAAATGAGATAAAACAATCAAGAGTTTTTGAGTTTTTTTCATACTTACAACCAGAAAAATATTGTAAAAACAACCATATGCCACGAAAAAGCCACTCCCATTATCCAGAATACTAAAGCCCTTATATAACACTACAGATTTTAATATAAAACAGTAGAAACTCACGAGAAACCTCAATATTAAAAAAAAACAAAAACAGTATCAAGTACTCAGAAAAAGCTCAAGAATCCACGATCTCAAGAATCCACACATCCTAGTGTTACCCTACATTGCAAATAACTACCCATACATTTTGTCATAATTTTTTCAAAATTTACAGGCAAATCAATGCATCTATTTAAACAAAACTACTTTTTATAGTTAAGAACTTTACATTAACTTTTATATTCTACTCTGCAAGATGTCTATCTGTCCTCCAAATTAGCTCTTATGTTCCAGGAAATAAATACAAACTCTTTATATGCTTTGTAATCACTGATGGCCTGTTTATGTAATTCTAGTCCACTATATGTAATTCTATAGAATGTGCTCTTGATTATTAAAGAATCGAATATATTTCTTGATCAAATACTATAATTCTCTTCTCCAATGGTTACAATGTTTAAAAAGTATGCAAAGAACTGAGTATCACTCCCATGAAAGAAAAGTATAATTTTGTTCCAAAATTAACTTAGTCTCATGTATTTCTATTAAGTCTTTCAAGCATTCCAGAGAATCTTTTCATATCTCCATTTCTGGAAAGTGAAATCAGTATAGAAGTAATTTGGGAACTTGAAAATGGCATTCATGTTTTTCAGCAGATGCCAAATTTTTGACCGACATGGCTCCCACAATTACTTTGTTACCATCAGTCCAGTCAGTTAACAGGTTGTAGGAAAAGATTCGTTTTTGCAGATACTGCTATGCTGTTTAAAGAGAAGAGAGAGAGATTAATTTAGTGATTATAAAATGCACAAATATTTAAAATATTTTGAACACTTCTTTGGATATATCAGAGGTGTGATTACATTTTAGTTAAGTCTGGTCAAGGAAGTGCAGAAAACAGTAAGTCAATATGATAGAAATAGGTCAATATGATGTGTTAGTTCAATTAATGTATGAATTTCTGCTACCGTATTCAAAAGTTAAATCTTTAGTCTGTTATCATTTTACCATAGAGGCACAATTAAGGGAAAAAAGGACAAAAGTTCCCCAAATACTAAATTGTTTCTAACCATTAAAGTAAACATAACCAAACCTGAAAATGTCAAACAATCATTTTATATTCCAGAAATCTCCTTTATCCAAATACTAATCATTCAGAACACAATTTTCTAAAAATAGTAAGACAACAGTTTCATATTAATCATAACTTTTTTAATTAACAAGTAGTGAATAGGACACTTTAAGATACTGTTTACTACATACTGAAATAAACATCTGTTGTAAATTCAGAAACCCAAACATTTACAGTAAAATGTGCTTACACATAAATATGACCAAATTTATTTAAAGCCCTGTTAGATAGGTCCTAAATACATGCAATTACCATGTAAAAACAAGACCATGAGTTGATGTAAAAAAATGACAAAAATCACTAAGTCACCAAAACTAGAAAAGAAATAATGAAATGGAAACTGAGAAAAGACAGTTAATAAAACACAAGAAACCTAACAAAGCAGCTTTAAAAATAATACTAATCTTTCCATTTTCAAAAGTTCTTAATCAAGTAATTCCCCAAATTGCCATTTATAAAATGACATTCTAAAAATCTATACTTGGAATTTCAAAACATCCCAATTCAGAAAGCTTTGATTACTGTTTCTCCCCAGCCCCCAACTTCAAATAATGCAGTAAAAGCACGGATGTTAGGAAGAAAATATTCCAAGGGAATGGTATAATTTTTAGAAAAACGAACTTACTGCTTCCAGAACCTTTTGATTAAGACCCAGAGTCGGCATTAACAACAATCATTTTTTTCCTATTTTCACTCATTATTTTCCAAGGTCATGTTAGAGATGAATAAATTCTTTGAGCCCATGACTGAAAGATCAACAAACCTGGTTTTATTATGACACCGTATTTTTGTCATTGGTACTGCACAAAATTATATACAAAGAAATATATACAAAAATGTTCAAGTATTAGTTAAATTTCAATTCAAGGCTTCTCTTTCAAAAAGCTACATTTAACATATTTCATAAAGATAGCACAAATTAGTCATTTCAAATAATCTTTTCCAATTACTTTTGGTTTATGTGTGTGTGTGTATGCGTGTGTACATATATATATATACTTATATATATATATATATATATAAAAATTCAGTAGGCACTAAAAATCCATGCAGCTGCATTGTGAGGGGCTTGTTCCTGCCCTTATATAAGCAGGTTCATTATTCCAGGTTGTGAGTTTGGCTACTACCCATTCATGCTGAAGTGCAGTAGATGATTTTACAAAATATGCTGTGATGCACTGGAAACCGAGACCAATATAGGTCTCAAGCTGTATTATCTAGCAAAAAACATTTACAGTTGTGCAAGAACAAAGAGTCCATTTCCATAACCAAATAACAACAAAATAAAACATGTGTAAGATAACTTACATCTTTGGACTGCTGGAAAATATTTTTTAATTATGAACATTTCAAAAATAAAAGACAGCAGAAGCCCTGATGTTACCTCTTTTTCCTCATTTCTTATACTACCTTTTAAAATAAAGCAGGAAATGTGGCCAGCAGCTGGTCCCGTCTCTTCTGCCCCAACAGCTGTATCCACTTTAGCACAAAGAAAAACAAGGATGCTAAATACGTATATACTTTATCAAACAGTGATGTTTCACAAAGAATTTATTGCCTCTTACACTGAAGGACATCAATAGTTAAGAGTACTTAAAGGGAAGAATATGTTCCTTCTTTGGAAAAATAGCATCAATCATAATCATTAAGTGGCCAGAACCACTCAATTTTAAAAAGTATTTTTAAATACAGTTAATACTTTTCAAATAGAGAGATTCTTTGTGAAGCCTCACTTTACACTTTTTCATTCACATTTCACAATCTTCAATATCTAATCATACATACAAAAATTTAACCTAAATTTTAATACAACAAAAATAAAGGCGTTCAACAATTTGTTCATACACAGTGATAGGATAATCACTGTGCTGGTCCTCAAAAAAAAAAAAAAAAAAAACCAAAACATTTCATTAACCATTCTTATTCTTCATCCAATTAGTTAAAACACAGAAGTACGTTAATTTCCAACTTCTCTAATGGTGAGAGATTAGAATCTGTATCTGAATAGATTGTATTTCTATATCTTCTAGTGAAAACTAAAAGGCAATCTTGAATATTTAAGAGATTTCTGTCATCTCCAGCAAAAAAAAGCTATCACATTTGTGCATGCCTCAAATATTTATTGTCAACCTCTGAAAAGTTGCTCTAAATTTGGAATTCCAATTTGCACCTTGTACAACTCGGAACTTCCATTCAACTTCACCTGTTTCACTGTCTCCAAACTGTATCTCTATAAGCAGGTTTCAGTGTACAGTTGGAACCGATGTCATCCAAGGCCATGTCCACACTGGGGACAGAAGAGCTAGGTACACGCAAGTCTGAACAAGGGGACACATTATCAACCAGAAGAAGCATCTTAAATACATTGACCAGCACAAGTCTGTTTCCAGGGTGGACAGGGCCCAAATTAGATTCCCCTCCCACCTTCCAAACAAGAAAAAAAAAAAAACCACACACACACACAAATTGAGATGTTGCCCATTAAAGTAGACTAAGCAGCAGAGCATGAGCGTTACGTGAAGAGATGGATCCTTACCAGGTTGTGAGGCGGGAACGACTGTTCTGTAACCCCTACAACGGAGCCTGGCAGGAAGGAAATCACCTAAAAAAGAAACTGTCAGAGAGATTTAATAGTCACAGGTTATCATTAGGAGTTGGTTACAGTGTCACATTCATGCTTTTAGCTAAACACTTAAAGGATTCATTATTACTTTTTTTTCCTCCTCTGTAATGTGTCCAGTGAAGATGTCCCACTAAGGTGTTTTACATGGTGTAAGGGAGTTGAAAGGGGTAAACGCGGATAAAGAGCAGATTACTTGACCCTACATTTTAAGAGAAGACGACGCCTTCCGAGCGCACGCCGAGCAGAACTCCACCGACACCTTATCCTTGTCCACATGAAGACACACTCCTCCCGCGGAGTCGTCCTCTTCCAGCAGGTCTTGCTGCTGCTTTCCCACCGGCAAAGCGTAGTCATGGTCACCGGCGGGCGAGTCTCTGAAGAGCGAGGTGGTCAGCCGCAGTCCCACGCCGCTCAGCCGGCTCAGCAAGCGAGCCAGTCCAGTCTCGTTGGCTAAGACTGCCCGTAGGTAGCGACTCTCCTCTTGCAGTGCTTGGACGCGTTTGCCTAGCTCCCGATTCTCGGCCCGCAGCTCCTGGTTCTCTGCTGCCAGACCCCGGACTCGACTCTCCAGGCCCATCACATATTCTTTCTTCTTCAGCCGATTAAGACGGGCAGCGGCCGCCGCCGCCTTCCGGGGACTCTTGGTCGCCGCCTGGTTGTTGTCGTTGCCGCTGCCGCCACCGCCTCCTCCTCCAGGAGACTTTCTCCGCCTCTTTTCCCCGCTGCCACTGTCACTGCCGCTGCTGCAGCCTCCGATACCGTTTAACAGCCTCTGGAGCAGATCAGAAAAGCGCTGCATCTCAGCGGCCGCAGCCTCGTCGTCATCGTCCCCTCTCCACAGGCCGCCACTATCGGAGCCTCCGCCAGATGAGGAGAGAGGCCCAGGCGAGCTAAGCCCGGGTTCCAGGTGCCAGTCCGGCTGCCTGGGGTCCAGCAGATCCGCCAGTTCCAGCCCAGACAGAAAGTCCATGTCCTCCGTTTCTTCCCCAGGGACGCTGGCAATAGCCTCTTCCTCCATCTCCTCGGGCGAGGGCGCGCGCACGGCCACGCCGTCGCGGCTCCCCCTCCCGGCCTCCAACTCGCCCTCGTCGCGGTGCGGTTGCTTGCGGCCGGGCGATCCGGCCGCCGCCGTCTCCTCCTCGCTTGCTGCCGCCCGGGTCAGGTCCAGGGGCAGAGAACAGGTCGCGGCCGGCGCCGGGCTCTCACTGCGGGACGGGGAATCGCTGCCCGAGGCTACCAACAGCTTGGTCAGGCTATGCCTCATGGGGCCCCGCGGCGGGCCAGCGTAGGCCCAGGCCCCTCAGACCGGGCCTCGCGGGCCCCAAGGACCCCAGGCCCCAGCGCTGGTAGACAGGTCGCTGGCCAAGACAAAATGATAGGAAAGGTCCGCGTCGCCTCCCGCCGCGCTCGGCTGATCGACCCCCCGCACCGGGGCGGGGGGCTGGGATGGAAGAAACAAGCGGTGAGGCCCAGCGATGACTCGACCGCGCCACCCAGACAACAGCCAGGCCGGAAGTTAGTCTTTCTCTCCACCCCTCCTACCGCATTTCGCGCTCCTACAGGCTGTAGTATCGCGAGAGTTTGTGGAGCTTTGGGGTGGCAGTAATTCTAGCTTTCTGATGATGTCATAATAACAGCGGTAAAAGCGATAAACCCCAGATCTGTCCCTCCGAATTCAATAGTACTTCCCAATAGCCAGACTCAACAATTTAACGTTTAACGTATTGTCATATTTGATTTATTTACATATAAATAATGTTTATAAGCAATAAATGCATACATTTACACACACATATACTTTTCCTCTCTATCACCCCTAAATTGCAAAGACACCACACCCAAAATACGTCAGTATGCGTCTTTAAAAATAAGAACATTCTCCTTCATAAACATGTTATTTAATCAAATTCTGAGAAAATTAACAATCATTTACTAATAGTATCTCTTCCATGGGCCTTATTCAGATATCCTCAGTGGTTCTTAGAATTTCTAATTTTGTATAGTAGATATTTTCTTTTGAGCCAGGATCTAATCAGGAGTCATTTACTGCATTTAGTTAGAGGTTTGTTTTGTTTCATATCTCAAACTTGAACAAGTCTCCCTATTTATTTAGCTTTTCTAAACATTAGCTATTTGAAAAGGACATGTTAGTAGTGTTAGACCAGTCCGCAAGAAAGACCACTGACTCCAATTAAAATCAAATTAAAGCAAGCTTATTATTTCCACCAGCCGGATGCTTCTCCCAACAAAAACCACGGGAACAAGATAGCAGCCCAGCTTTATAGCCCAGAAAGTTACACAAAGTGGGGGTTACAGATAACAAAACTCTGAGGAGCATAACACAAAGGCTAGTTTATATTTTTGCTGGTCCCACCATCAGAATTTATGAAGGTCATTAGAGCCTCAGAGAGGGTCTTATCTGGCCAGGGAAGGCCAAGATTTTCACTAAAGTTTCAGAGAGGGCTGCTATCTGGTCAGAGACAGCCAGGCATGGGTAAGTTCAAGGCAAGGGCAGGCATTCCAAGCAAGTTCAGAATTTGCAGTAATTTATAGTAAAGCTGAAATTAGCTTTTCATGTCTTTGTGGTGAGATGGCTCCCAATTTTAAGAGGAATCAGGCTGGGTCTATCAAGTAGTTTTGAATAATACACCATATTCTAGATTATCCCCCATGATGGTATTTATCTTTTTTCTCAAGCTTCATAAAAGATTTAAGATTCAAAGCAGTTTATAAATGCATTAGAATATAGGTGAAACAAAGCAATTCATGTGTTTTAAAAAGCCAATAAAATATAGATGAAATAGTAAGATAAGGATTTAGAAAAGAAGGAAAAATTAGTATTAGAATAGAATGGACACAGACCTCATATAATTACTCTATTTGGGCTCAAAATAAATTGAGCTTCCTGGCAGTCCAAGTAAAAAAGAGAAAGAAACATTCCTTGGTTCACATGTGAAACACATATAAAACTTGTAACCTCTTTTCTAGTTCTTAGGTCTTGAAGGATAAGGTAGCAGCTTTATAAAAGTAGCATCTGCTTTATAAAAACAAGTTGCGGGAAAGCTGTATACTGATAGATTCCAAATATCCAGAAATGTGCCTGGCACAGCATAAACTTCAACAAATATTTGTTGAATGAATGAAAGAGGAAGGGCTACAGTTTTGGCTGAAGGACTAACACTAAAGCTCTTCTGAATACAAACAATGATGCCATGGGCAAAAATAAATACGACCTATGTTATCTGGAAGTATAAATAAAAGACTGCCTTGTCCTTCTTAACCTTCCCATTAGGAAAGGATTTGTTAAAGTAGAATAGCACACAGTTCAAGGTGACATGTACTCTGGCCTGACTTCAATACATGTGATTTGTGTGGCTGATAATTTCATCCAGCTGTGTTTCCTCCTAAGGTTAAAAACCCAACATCATGGATTATTATGTTTTTCCTATTATAAAATTTGATGTTTGAATAATGACACCTCCAGTTTAATATAAAAGCAGAAAATTGAAAAAGAAGGAAGTTTTTTTTTTTTTTAATGTAGCTTTAGAAGAGGAAAATGTACCTGAAGCAACAGTAAACCTCCCAGAAAATGGTCCTTTCTTCTTTTTCTCCTACTCACTTTCTCCTTCACAGATGTTTTGTTTATCTTTTTCTGGTTAAAATGACCATGGCAAAAGATTTGGATAATCCAGAAATGAATAAATAATTAGAAATTTGCTACTCACAATCTACCCCAAAATAACCATTCTTAAAATTTTAGTATCCACTCAGTTTTTCCATGTACAGATGCACCTTGTTTTATTTCTTTGAACTCTACTATTTTGGTATGAACATATTGTAGACATCTTCCATACAAATAAATATAGATCTAGGTGTGTATTTTAATTGTCTATCTAGAATTCCATTTCATGGAGTTTTCAAATTTCATTCAATTATTCATATCATATAGGTTGTATTAAATTTTTAACCATTATAACCATACTAAAATCTTGTGCAAGCATATTAGTTTACTTTTCCTATAACTCTCCTGGATAAAGTCTTAGAAGCAGAATTTCTGGGCATAATTTTTATACATGGATCCTTATTACCTTCCAAAAAGGTGTCTTTCACCAATGATGTGGGAAAGTATTTAGTTCCCTATCTGCCGCAGTCTGGCTGGGCACAAATCACGAGCCACTGAAGCAGGAACAAACTTTATTTTTAAAACGCAGAAAAACACTTCACACAGCTCCCGGGGAAATCCTCCCGAACGCGCCACGAGGCTTGTCCAGGAACCCCCAGCCGGAACTATATCTCCCGGAAATCCCTCCTCCTGCACTTCCCCAACCAATGGGAACTCTCGGGGAATCCCCGGAAATCCCCACGAGAACTCCAAAATAGTGCGAGAACTCAAAAGTTGCGGCAGAGGCGGACAGGCAGAGGCGCCTGTCAATCAATACTCAGCCGTGGCTCTCAGCACCTATCCACTCAATGACAGTGGATTTATTCTTTTTTTAATGTTTGTCAATTTCCCTAAACATAGAAATGGTATAGTTTTGTGTGAATTTGTGTTTCTTTTATTATGGAAAAATTGTATGTTTTTCACATGCTCAGTAGCCTTCTAAAATGCCATTGCATGTCAGCTCTTTCCCACTTTTTCTTTTTTAAGTGAGGAAAATGTTTTTCAAAGAACATATTTTGGCTTTTCCTTTTTGACTTACATGAACTCTTTTTATTAAAAGGAAACCATCCCATTGTCTCTTATATGTTGCAAAATTTTTGCCCAGTTTACTATTGACTGGAGGTGGCATAATAAATTGCTTGCTTTTACAATAGGCTGTATTTTTTATAAAGATGATTTTTTAAAATTTTTGTAGTTGTAGATGAACAGAATGCCTTTATTTTGTTAATTTTTATGTGGTGCTGAGGATCAAACCCAGTGCCTTACACATGCTAGGCAAGCGCTTTGCCACTGAGCTACAGCCCCAGCCCAATAGGCTATATTTTTAAATAGTCACTATCAAAATTTTCTTCATGGCTTCATAAAGGCTTTATTATCCTAAATAATACTAATACTTATCCATATTTTAGCACTTCTTCAATTATTTATATTATATTTTTAGCAGAAGTTTTATCATGGTAGTTATTTTATTAATATCTAAATGAAATGTATCAGTTATAAAATATGAGATAAAAATATAGCTTTTCAAAAAGTTATCTGCCACAGAAAATTTATAATTCCTACTTGCTTCATCAATTTCCCAATGTATATTTCACATACAGAATTCTTACATATAGTTGGATCTATTTATGGTCTTTTTAATTTCATTGATCAGTCCAACAATTCTGGAATTGAAATTGTTCCAATAGTTTTATATTTTAATGCTTCCAGCAAGACTCTGATTACTTTTACTTTCTCAGAGTTTTTTTTTTTTTTAACTGTACTTGAATATTTAATTCTCCACATTATTTTGGAAGATGTTTCAAGTTCAAAAAATAAAGCTGGAATTTTCATGGAAATTGCATTACATTTAGTCATTTCTTTTTCCATTTATGTTATGCAAATTTGGCTACTGGATAGATTATTTTTCTTCCTTGCCATTTTCTAAATGGTTGTTGTTGCTACGTAGGAAAGGTATTTATCTTTTTCATCAGATTTTTAACTGACTCCCTCACTAAACTCTCTTAATAGTTTTTACTTTCAACTTATTTATTCAAAAATTTCCGGAAGACAATAATATGGCCTTATTATATATAATTTATATTTTTAATACTATTTTATTCTCTTGACCAAAAATAAAATAACACCTCCAGATTGATGTTAAATAATAATGTTGATAACCAATATCCTGCCTTGTTCCTGATTTTAGCAGGAATACCTCATGTGACTGTTAATTTGAGATGGATATTTTTTATCAGGCTAAGAAACAGTCTTCTATTTGTATTTTACATGGAGCCTTTAAAAAAAAAACAACCTTCTGTGATTGTTTAAATAGTTATTACAAGATTTCACTGTTTCAGCCCGTATAGACAGTGGTACTGGGGCTGGGGATATGGCTCAAGTAGTAGTGTGCTCGCCTGGCCTGTGTGAGGCATAAAAATAAAATAAAAATATTGTGTCCACCTAAAGCTAAAAAATAAAAAAAAAAATATTTTAAAAAAGAGATGCTGAGAATATAAAAAAAAAAAAACAGGTGGTACCTTCTGGGCACTTTGGCTTAAATTGGGCTTTTTGTATAACAGAAGTGAGTTTGATGAGTTTTCCTGAAACCACAAACATTTTTCTTTTATCACATTTGAATATTTCCCTTTCTTTGTTTATGTTTTTATTAGTGTATTATAGTTATTGTTTTTTTGTCAGCTTTTTCAGTCCTATGACCAAAAGACCTGACAAGGACAATTTTAGAAAAGAAAAAGTTTACTTGGCGCTCAGTCTCAGAAGTCTCAGTCCATAGATGGCTGACTCCATTGCTCTGAGTGTGGGGAGAGGCAGGACATCAAGGTGAAAGAGTGTGGTAGAGGAC